TATTTATGTCGAGTGATGTTTGAGTTACAATGTAGCTACAAGAATGTACACGTACATACAGGTACATGTACATGTATATTTTACTTTTAATGTGTACCGGCAGAAATGTTTGAAAAAGCTAAGCGAGTTGCATTAAAACTGAAGTACATGTATGTGTACATCGTGTCAGTGAATGGTGTTTCTTACATGTACATGTGTAAAAATTGCGTACTGTTATTTGTACATAGATCCAAGTGAAAGAATGCCAAAACACCAACATGTCAATTGACAGGGGCTGTAATCATATTAACTCATTACTTTGCTGCCAAAGATTTTCTCTCAAATTTCCACAGAAGTATTGTTGTCATGTGTGCCAGCCCTTGTCAGCCTTCGTTAGTGGGACCAATTCCCAAGTGCCTACAGATGCATTACTGCTAACTTAATTTATAATCCCACACAACAGCATGAAAAGTTAACCTTTGAGGAAAAGAATTGATGGATGAGAACAGAAAAAACTCCTTTTAGCAGGAATTGTAATTCCTAATGACTGTTAGCAGTTGTAAACCATCCATCCAGTTTTTTAAGGGAGTGTTTTCTTTCAGTGGGAAGGATCCATGGATGCACGTGCATTTGGCCCTTCATTTCTTCACTACCTGTAGTACTGGTAAACTAAAAAAAAAATTGGCCAAGCCAAGAAGGAAATTGATGGCTTCCATGGAGATTGCACAGTGCTGATAGACAAGGAGAGATTTCATCCTCTAAGGTTACAGGACGCAGAGGCAGAACGTATACAGGGTGATTTATCAACTCTCAGATGTTTTTCAGCGCTGACGCCTTATTTCTTAATGATGCCTCTCCCAAGGAAAATAGATGCTGCTGCTGTGTACATTTTTTAATCAGTGTCGGACGTGATGATATTTCAACAGCATGTACGTGTGCATTTAGATGATCCAAAGTGATTACAAGTTTTACGTCTCTGTTTTTTTTAACATGTAAATACGTGTACTTGGCATGCAGATGTGTACTTGTACAAATGTACTGCTTCTCCGTGTAATTTTTAATCAGTGTCGGATGTGATATTTCAACAGCTGTTTATGTGTACATACAGGTATGTACATGCAGATGCAGATGATCAAACTGATTCCAGGTTTTCCTTCTCTGTTATTTACCGGGTGGATACATGGCATACAGTTGTACTGTTTCTCTAGGCAGGAGTAGGCCTACATTTTTAATCAGCGTCAGATGTGATACCGGTATATGCATTTCAACAGCCGTTCATGTGTACTTGTACATGTACATGTACATGTACGACCCATAAAACAAAAAATTAAGTTTGAATTGACAGGTTTTCTTATTTATTTCATCAGCTTTACTACAAATCCTTCACCTACATGTGCATGTACAGATACTGGTAAATGTGCATGCACTGATAATGTACATGTATCCCAAACTGTCATTAACACACAATAAACATATGTTATGGCTCATAGTTGAGTACCACATGCTTCCAAGAAGGATCTTCTCTTAAAATTGAAAGAAAGGAATGAAAAGGAAACATTCCGATCCATGATGTGAAGTTATGCGGACACAAAACCCCAACCCTGTATAAATCCTCTGAGACAATTCATCTGGTCGCACCACCCACTGGCTGGGTCTTGAACCCCAAGGAGCCCAGGCCTGACTTCTCATCATCACAGCATTCGCTGGTGGACGATGCTTAACTAACTCTGAGTTGCTCTCTCCTTGCCAGTTTTCAATCAGTGCTCACCGGCGGGTGTCCTGCTGACCTCATATTCTATCAGATTTCATTCACTGCTTTGCTAGGATTTTGGGAGGTTGGCCTCCTCTTTCTGTCGAGACCTTGTGCTCCTTTGAAGCGGATTCTTACTGACTCTTTGCATGAAAAAAACCTCACTTTCGAGTTCTTTTTGATTGCCGGGTTATGGCAAGGCAGGCACATTTTCACTGTGAGCAATGGAGTGCTTCAGCCCAAGTGCCTGTTTTTACGGGGGTTGGGGAACGATAAATGGATTTAGGAAGGATGAGATGAGGACTGACAAAGATGAGGATTTGGTCTATTGCCGGTTACCGGCCCGTCCAAACTCTCTTGTGTGCGGAGAGTTCCTGGTAAGTCTGTGGGGGACCGGCTTGCCAAGCCCTGGTTATGAATCAAGAGTAACAGTGGTTACAGTGATTGCTTTGGGTGGGGGGCTTTGCTTTCTGTTACATTTTACTCGCAATTGTATTTTATTCGTGATGTCGTGTTGGCATTCTCAGGAGACCGTCTGTAATGTGTGCCATTTTGTCCTGGGGATAAATTGTAATCAAGCAAGCTGACTATGGGACGTGGCTTTGCGTGCTTTCTGAAATACAGACGTTTGGTTCTTGGGATTGTGTACTTGGTCCAGTTAACAAGTTGGCCCAGATTGTACAGGTCGCCTCTGTACATCGTAAAGAGTGATTTCCACTCCAAATGAGTACTGTCTCAGCTTTTTTCTGTTTACCTAATTTGTAACCGATGTCCGAGAGGAGTTCTCAGCATGCACAAGAGCAATCTATGTTCAAGCTCCCCATGGGTTTCTACATGTTTTGATGTACATGTATTTGTGAGTATATTCTCTGCATCGATAAGGGCCATCCTTTCTTTGATAGCTTGGGTGTTCTGTTTTATGCACTTGTAGATGTCATACTTTCATTTGTGTAGATGATTTGCAGTATATACCAGTACATGTACATGTAGGTATTAGTACTGGTACTTAAAAAGCTGCCATACCATGTACATGTACATATTTCATTTTGTTCCCTAAAACAATTACTGGTAGTTGTGATAAAATTGACAGCAGTCATCACACCTGTCTCATTTAGCATTCAGCTATGCAAGTGTACAGGTGTATTGTACGTACTCGTATACTTTTAAAAGCACATGTACATGTATGTACACATACATGTATGGTACATGTACATGTTACATGTGTATTTATAAAGTACTGGTATACATGTATATGTGATACTTTCCTTCAGTTCATACACAAAGGAAACAAACAACCAAGATGCGACTTTGTTTTTGTCTTTTTACATGTACTGGTACATGTAATTTGAACAGAGCCCTGAAGAATCAATTTGGTTTTACTTTTAGCAATAGGCATCTGAAATGAAAAGCCCGTATGAGAATTTTATGTATCCATTTCTTGTGAATAAGGCTTCAGTGCAACTGTATGCTAAATGGCTTCACTTGTAAAATGTACATGTATATGCCAGTATGTCCTATATGTACGTGTACATGTAGTTAGGATCCCTAGAGGATGTTTCAGGAGGAAACCAACCAAGTACATGTACGGTACCAAGTACGTATATGTACATGTATGTGTACATGTATAGTTCATACATGTACGAGTATAAACACAAATTTCAAACACGTATGAATAGATATATGTAAAGTACATGTACCGGTACATGTGTACAAAGGATAAACATGTAACTTAGGCCATTTTCCAATACTCAACTTCGTCTCCGTCTCAGGCTTCATGTAGGAAACCAATCCCCGATCGTGGGTCGAAGCGTTTAACTTAAATTGAAATAATGTAATGTTTGGCTGTTTTGCATCTTACATGTACTTGATGTTTTGTGGCACCAGAAGACTTACTATTGCTCTTACAACCTCAAAGTCGGGAAGTAAAAAAAACAGTTGAAGCCTGAGATTGAGCCCAAGTCGAGTATTGGAAAACGACCATAATGTTCATCCACGTATGTACATGTAGGCTGAAATACTGGTGCAAAATTTTCAAAAACGAGACACATGATCGCCATGTACATGTACCGGTATGAACACTGTGTGGATCAGTCTCAGGCAATTAGGAAAACACAATTAATTTAGGGGTTTTGGGCAGGGGTCTTCTGTTTAATTTTGTAATAATGTAACCAGTAGGAGTACATGTACATGTATGTGTTATGTGTGTATACACATGCACATGTAGGTCTGTTCTTTCTACATGTATGTCACTGTCGTTTTTTGCCCACCAGTGGCTTATAAAACTATCCAGCATGGCTGGTTATCAGAACAAAAACAAAATAATAGTTCACTGTGTGTTAGGAATAATCTCATGCAGCTACATGTACCAGTGCCTATCAAAGCACCGAATAATAAACACTGCGACCCTCACATGTACATGTCCACCCCCTTTCAAAAGGAATGGGGTAAATGCACTGTACATTTCTTGGTTAAGTCTGACACCAACCAAGTGTGACTGTTTCTCCAAACTTTGGCTGCCCCCAGGAACAGTATGCAGTTTGAGAGCGGTGTATTAGTCACTCAGTAGTTGGGGCAATTGGAAGTGACATGTTTCAGATGTACTGATATCCATACATTCCGAACATGGAGATTGGATTCAAATCATACCCTACCGTGACTGGTGTGAAACACAGGGTTCGGCAGTTTCTCATGGCACTTAGAGATGGTAATTGGCTTGGTGTGTGGTTCATGCACCACAGAAAGGATCATGATCCCAGCAACCTTACAGTTTGACATCACCCGGAACCCTATTTTGTTCACCAGAAGGAGGACAAGAAACACTACATGTATACATGTACATGTACATAAACTGTATATTATTGAGTGAACTGGCTTTTGAGACATTGCTTAGTTGAGAAAAACTCAAGGTGGTTTCATTGGCCTGATCAGATGTACATGTACACATGTACATGTACCATGTGTTCATAAACTTTGGCAAGGATCTACAGTGATGTACATGTATTTTAAGTTAGGAACTAGATGTATTACTTGTCTTTTTGACAGGTTTTCAGCATTTGCATGGCTGGTTGCTTTGATCATAAGGTCTCTCTCTGGATTTTTGAAACATACCGGTAGTGAACAGGCTACATGTACCGGTACATGTACATACATGTAGTCTTCATGGTCACTTGTGCAGAGATTCACTCCAGTTAAACTGCAGACTATAGTGCGTGGTCATTTGTAAAGTAAAGTAAAAAGGCCATGAATAGCTTGTCTTGGTGTACTTTTGCAGATCCCACCCGGTGTTGACCTGTCGCTGAGTGAGCTCCAGGACATGGCCGAGCGGCAGCAACACCAAATTGAGGCCCAGCAACAGACGCTGGTTGCGAAGCAGCAGCGTCTCAAATTCCTGAAGCAACAAGAGCAAAAACAGCAGGTGAGTGGGTTTGCAAAAGGGGGGGGAGAGGGGACTGCTGTTAAAGTACCAGGGAGGAAAAGGTTACAGTATGGAAAAAATACCTGCTCAGCTAATAAGAGTTGAAAGACAAATGTTTGCATGATTGGCAGATGGAGGAGATGAAAAAAAAAAAAACTGGATCAGTGATCATGATTGAACCATGGAGCTATATATGCAGCTCCATGGTTGAACCAGCCAACAGAGATATCACCCTGTACATGTACATGTATATTATCCTTGAAAACTAAGTCCTTGTTGGAATAAAAGGAAGCTCCTCCCCCTCCTTGTGAAAAGCTTTTGATTGAGAACAGCCTGAGTGACTGCAACATGAGGTAGTCTGGCCTATTGTGAATTTACATGTAGATAGACCCTAGCCTTCAAGTTGTTTCTGTGTGTTTTTCATTACATTACCCTCTGGGAATATATTTCACTCTTGACTGTAGTTGGCAGGCCTCTTACATCCTGATTCAAGGAAGTCAAACAATGTAAAATCTCTGTCATCTGAATAGATGATTTTATACAGGAATCCACACTCTTTTTGTAGAATTTTGGAGACAACGCAAGTTTCAGAAAGTTTTCCATATACATGTAGATACACATTGCCTTTGACAGGTTGCAGTCACCTCATTATTAATGACTGTAGACTTTTCAGTAATAATTACCATTCTCTACTGGTAGGTCAATTGGTACACTCACATCCTGAGTGTAAACCTTCCCTTGAACTGAAGAGGCCCTTGTGGTCATTTTTATATTGAAAAAATATTGAAAAATGAATATTTTGATATAACAGGGTTGAAGCCAGTCCAAGGACTTTGGTGAATTCATTTGCTGCTTGAAATGTTATTTCAGGCAGTGCACTGAAAAGCACAGGATTTATTGTTCATATACTGTGTTAATGTACACTACAGTATGTGGTTCTTTTGTATTTCATAAGTATCTATCCTCTTCCATGTTTCACAGTCAATCGCACTGACGCCTCATTAAGTCCGACACCTCATTAGTCCGATGTCGGATTTATGAGGCGTCGGACCTTTGAGGCATCAAAATACGTGTATGAGGCTGAAAAAAAAAATTTGCCCATAAGCCCGACGCCTCATTATTCCGACGCCTCAAAAGTCCAAATTTTGGAGTCCCTCTGCCAAATATCATTCTGAGGTCATCAAAATTGGCCCAGAGACATTCAAGATGTTTCTGATCAGTCTTATATAGTGGAAGAACCCATTTATGTATTCTGAAGTTCTGTCACTTGCTTAAAAATACAACTGAATAAGCCTACTGGTAGTAGTGAGTTATTTGGATTGTGTTGTGCCTTACAATCTGGGTGAGTGGTGCTTGACCTTGTATCAAATAGTTCCTTGTGTCCCTATCCAAGGCCCATGAAATCGCTACTTCACATACATGTACATGTACATGTACATTTATAGTAGTTCTTTATACAGTCACATATGCATGTACATGTACACCCACCCTTACATCTTTACATGTATACTTGTGGGGTATTTCCTTTGCTCTTGTGTACATACATGTAACTCCCACACAACACGGAAAAAATTTCAAATCACTGCCATTTCAACCAAATTTAGTTTCCCGGGTTGAAATTCCGACCGTATGTCCCTTGTATAAAACACTTCAATTTGTGACAGATGAATGGCACTTGAAAATTCCTGCTTTTTGACTAAATTTGAAATATCTATTTCGTGAAATTCTTGTGGGGTACCACTTTAGTACCCCACGAGGATCCAAACTGGCCTTGTGGGGTACATGTACATGTACCTTCCATTGTTCTGGTACCCCACAAGGCACCTTGTACAAGCGCACACATGTATGTGTACATGTACCTGTACCAGTACATGCACTGCAGGTGGGGGATAGTAGCAAGACCTGTTGTGTCATTTCTCTTTGGGTTGACCTTGCACATGAGGTTCATTATGACATTTTTTGTCTACCTGGTGTATTTCTCAGTGGAGTTTATCAAGTCCCAGTTGAGCCCTGTTCACTGAATGGATTTTGTACGAATGTTTTTTGGATAGTTTTGAAAAAGGCCACGTTTTGCTGAATGGTGTAGTAAAGTTTATTATGACACAGGCTGTAAAAGATCTATATACTGTAAGTATAAGGATTGTAAAGTTCAAAGATTCAGTTCTTCATTTGCATATAAGTGTAGTAAAAAAAGTGTAACACAACACTTTGTTCTTGACAGTTGTTATAAGGAGCTCTCTGCTTGACTTATACACTGTACATGAACTACTTTCTGTATTTTAATGTGATAAAAAAACAAGCTATGATCATCCATCCAAATGAACAGAGTATCATTTTAGAAACTTTGAGAAACCTTTCAAATCAAACAAAGATTGCTGAGATGTTTTCCAATATTGCTAAGGTATTTTGAATGTTATGCCACATACATGTACATACATGTACATGTACCCGGTACGTGTATTCCCAAATTTAACTCTGTAATAAATTCAAAAATATTAAATACCGGTATACATGTACCTGTACATGAACCAGATGATGTTGCAAATACAGCTTTCAGAGGGAAGAAAATATTCAATCAGTCTTTCTGAACAGACATTTTCTTTGTCCAGAATAAATGTAGGTACAATGTAGGCCCTACCGGTACATGTAATTGTGATTTTCCAGTTCACCTCCGATGTAAAAATTGTATTACAGAATGATTCACTTGCCATCTTTTCAATTATCACCAAGGCAAAATAGCTTCAGGATGTAATGCCACTTAGCAGCTCAGCATGAGCTCCGAAATGCGAAACTCATCCGAGATAGAAAGTTTGTGAAAATAAGGGAGACTTAAAAGTACATGTACCTACAGCAAGGGAAAACTACCCCATAATGGCTTGTTTCTGAAGTATTTTGTACGATGAGCTCTCTCTAAATTATTTGGCTCCTTATTTCTCCCGCATTCCAGGGTTCAGTCACCCGATACACACTTTCAGTGCAACCCTACATGCCAGGCCTTGACTTTGCGCAGTGCCCCATGGTAGTGACACTGCCTCTGAAATTTTAATTGGCCCACCGAACATTCAGGATCCCAGCTGAGTAACGGTGGGGGGCTTGGATTGCACGTGATGGAGCCATTGTTATTCTTCGACAAGACGGAGAAAAGAGGAAAGAGGAATGATATCGACGATCCGTCTTTGTGCCTGAAAAATCTGCATTCGCGGTCGATAAGAAATTTGTGCATGGATGAATAGGTAGCTGAAGGATTGCAATGGTCCTTCGTTATTCTTGTCATTGGATTGAATTTTTACACTCACTGAGTACATGTACCCAGTCATTACACTCAGTGATCAAGGTATTTTTACATGTACTGTACAATGTATGTGTATTGTGGAATGTAAAGTTTATACAGAATCATGCGAAGAGATACATGTACAATAAATGGGCCATCATGCTTACAGATTTAAACATTCTACACATAGATAGTATGTACATGTGTGTACTGTGTAAGTTATTTTGATGACCTCTTGCTAATTTTTCCTGTTGTTTTGTTAGGTCAGTGCTTTAGGACAGTTTTGTATAAAGTGGCCAAAAGCAACTATTCTTTTACCTCCAACAGAAAAAAACCTAATGGTAACAAGAAGACTTTAAGCCGGTAATCCAGAATATACATGTATGTTCGTACGAGTGCATGAAGAAGAAAGGTTCAATATCCATGGAATGGAATGAAGAAAAGGGTCTAACTTTGAAACCCTGCATACATTTTTGTTCTCCTTTGCAGCAAATGGCCGCTGAAGATGAGCGCCTACGCAGACTCCGAGACAAAGTGGACTCCCAGGAGCAGAAATTACGGAAACTGCGAACTCTGCGAGGCCAGGCTGATGCCACCAAAAATAACAATCACACCCTTTGTAAGTGGAGGCCACGCCCCCTTAGCCCTCCTATCAAAAAGGAAAAATATATAGTTTCTTTCATAAAAAAGGAAAAGAGAAGGCATTTCAAATGATTGCACTGTCAATTGCTTTCAAAGAGCTTCCTCCGCAAAACTTCCATAATCTGCCACTGAAGATTCCCAGTAAAACATTCTTTATTCGAAGGTCAGTCCTTTTCCATTGGACATCAGCATACTCATCCCAAATCTCAGGGTGAATTATGAGAGGTTACTGTTGGCTCAGTTCCCAATCAAAGATGATATGAAACAAGTGAAATATCCCAACTTGGGGAATGACTTAATTTATCAGTTTATGTCTCATTTATATCCCTTTCCATCCTGGCCAGTTTGATTGGGGAAAAAGCAAAATTTTCCATAATTTTAAAGTAAATCCTTGGTACATGTGAAAGGCTAATGCAGCAGAATACATCAATTATCCAAAATTATTGTGCATTAACATACACATGGCAGGGTTCCCTGTGCAACTGCTGAGTAAGTTTAACATGAAAGCATTAATAAAGTGCCACAGAAACTGTTTTGCATTGGACTGTATGTTGTTCAGCATTCAGCAGGGTAATAGCATGTTGACTGTAGTATGCTGCACAGTTTCTTGATAACACTTGATGAGAGATCAGGCCTGATAAACCTAGCAACCTAACAGCCCTGGCAGGGATTAAACTGGAGTCACTGGTCATGGGATGCTTGGACAGACCCATACTCCAAGTATTTCTTGTACATTCCAGAGACTTTGTTTTCATGCAGACGTCTCTCTTGTGTCTTGTATCTCCTTCATCTTGACAGCCACCGAGCTGGAGTCGGTGCGTACCCTGTTTGCCCAGAAGGAGAAGGAGTTGGCCCTGGCGGTGGCCAAGGTGGAAGAGCTGACACAGCAGCTGGAGCAGCTGAAGCAGGGCAACCTGAATGGGATCAACGGCGATGTCTACAGGTCGCCAGCCAACGAGGAGCTGGACCGACTGCGTAAGGAACTCTTGGTGAGTGCCGAGTGGAGGATGGCATTCCATTGAATTGTTGGACAGATGTCGCTTAGTAATGGTGACTTGCACTGTGGAAATGAGACTAGGGCCACTGTGCAGTTCATGGCCTCTGAAAGCATCTTGCATGTTTGTAAATCAGCAGCAATCATTAACAACTTTCCCCCACTCAGTGTCCTTTTTCATCAGAATTTTAAAGTGAGTGATACATCAAAATAGAGGGCCCCGTTTTCTCTTTTCAAGTCAAACTACTGCTCAAAAAGTGGCTCAGTTGACTTCTGACTCATTTTCACACAGCCCTCACAGAACAGGGGTCAATTTCATAGAGCTGCTTAAGCACAAAATTTGTTTAAGGGCAAGAAAACCTTGCTTGATAAATCAGGTAACCAGCCAAAACTCAATGTGATGTATATTGTTTTGGGATTGTATTTAGCTGTTTTTTTGGTTAGCATGACAATCAGATAGAGTTTTAGCTGGTAACCTTTGTTTACTAAGCAAAGTTTTTTCCCACTTAAGCAAATTTTGTGCATAAGCAGCTCTATGAAATTGGCCCCTGGCAGCTGGTCAAGAAATTACCACTACGTGGTGTTTGGACTGGACCCCCATTGCATGGCTGCTTAGAAAAAGTTTTGTGAATCAAGTAAAGGTCCTTGCTTAACAACTCTGAGATTTGCCTGCCTTTATGAATTATTGGCTGCTTTTGTCATGCTGCCGCTTAATGTTTTGGGAAGATTGTTTATTCAACTTCTATACTCTCCTTGTACATTGTAGTCAGCAAAGAGATTTCAGTTGTCGTATCTTTTATCTTGGAAACAGAATGTAGGCCAGGGTTTGAACTCCTGCCACAACAGAGAAATACCGTTATCTAAAGTTCAGGACATCAAAGAATTTCTTCTGATGAAGTGCTGTTCAGAAATCCCATGCAATTAGGGCCCAAGTATTTTTACATTCGTTTTGCTTGTTGTTGCAGCATATTAATAATAAGCAACAAGGCCACTTGCACTGATGTGTTGCACTTACACTGATGGTGTCAAAGTAAAGAAGCGGTACATCCATGAAGGTAATGCCTATTTTTCATTTTTCGTCTTTGTTTTATCTTGCAGCTTCGTAACAGACTGAATGAGGAGCAGAGCGCAACACTGCAGAAGCAGCGACAAACCATGGTCCAGCGGAAGGAGGAGATGGCCGTGGTTGACAAACGCATAGAGGAACTGACAGAACGACTGCGCAAGACCCGAATCCTGGGCAAGCCCCAGCTTCCTCCTCCAGGCGCCAACGTCAACAACAATGCCTCAGTGCCAGTTCGGTTGCCCAATGGCAACGTACAGCTCGACAGACCATTTAATGGGAGCCAACCCAGAGAAACGGGTAACAGGATGAACTCCAGGAACGACCCGCGAGGGATGACGGGTGACCCTGGTAGGAGGTCACCCCTGACCAACGGCGACCTCTCGGGACCCCCTCCCCCTGGTGGCAGTGCCCAAGGTAGACCAGGGCCTACCAGCCGTCCAATGCCCCCGAAGCCCGCCACACTGTTCCCTCCGCAGAGCTTCAAGCCCAGGACAAACCAGAGCGGCACCTCAGGCGTCCCCCGGCAGGGCTCGCCCATGTCTGCTAGCAGGCCACACCAAGCCCCGGCCTCGTGGCACTCCACATCTTTGGACAACGTCCAGCAGTCACGCAGCAAGCCCGAAGGCGTCAATGAAAGTGGGAGTGACACCTCCTCGTTGACCGAGAACTCCAGCGTTGACAGCATGCCCACCAGTGGCCTGTCCAACCAGCAACAGGGGCCGAGTAGACGGCCTGATAATCGCAGCTCTCCCATACCTCAGAACCAGCGATCTGGAAGTCCCTTGTCCTCACAACCTCTCCCCGTGCCCAAGGCAGACCCAAGGTTGTCATCCTTGTCCGAGCGGCGGGCTGGGGACAGGTCACCCATGTACGATCTTGCGAGCCTAGAAGCTGCTCTATCTCCCCCACCTCAAGAACTGTTGAATGACCGGGGGCCACCTCAGCAAGGTGACTGGAGACCGCCAGGCTTTGGTCCTGGACAAGCCTCAGGCAGCCCGTCCCGCCAGGCAAACCAGCCCTCCGGAAATGTTAACCGCACAGAGACTGACTCGAGGACCAGGAGTGTAAGCACGGACTCTGTCAGCTCCCAGAGCAGTAACAGACATCCACCTTCACCACAAGGCAAGAAGAAACCCCCTCCCCCACCTAGAGCTGTCACAACTGGACTGTCGAGTGCCAGACCCAATCAGCTAACTCCAAGTTCCCCGTCAAGAGTTGGTCCCGCAGCACCAAATGGTCAGAGGTACCCCTCTGTTTCCAGTCAACCGTCATCTGCGCCATTCAGGAACGAAGGACCCCAGTATGGTCCCACTCCTGCACCTTCTACTCACCCTGGTAGTCCCAAACTGTCTGGCGGGAGGAGCTCCGGTTCCTCCTCCCCTGTGACTGGTCAGCATAATGGCTCACCTGTCCCTGTGGCCAGGCCGCAACCTGGGTCACCAAGGTCCGACCACACTGCAGTTACCAATCCTCCTGCCTCAGTCAATTCCGACATTCCTCCACCTCGACCTGAGCTTCCTCAGCCGTACTCCACTGCTGCCCCTGATCCAACTAGACCTCGCCACCAGAGGTCCCCAGCCACGGTGGGCATGTTTGTCCCACCCCCGCCGGCCCAGATGCGCAATTACAACCGCCCCAGCTATGAGAAGGGCCTCACATCGACTGATAGTGGGAAGAAGAACCTGGCAGTCCGGAGTCTCTTCCCAGACGTCCAGCCCAATCCACCTGGTAGGATCTTACCAGGAAATGCTCCATCAGCTGGTGGCCTCCAAGGTCCTCAGCCATCGCGTGAGGAAGATGATATCCCCCTCAGTCCAAACCGCCCGCCAAGCCCGCTCAACCTTCCCATGAGCCATCTCTACCACCACCCTGATTTCCAGAGGTTGCGGAATATGCCTCGCCCTCTCAAGAAGCGGCTGTCCTATTCAGAGGACAAGGAGAGCCTGAATTTCCTCAAGATTGGAGGCTTGGAGCCCACAGTGAGCGAGACCAATCAGGAGCCGGACCTGCCCAAGCCGGAGCCCCAGCCCAACAACACCAGCAAGAAGGACGAAGATGAGAACTTCAGGAACAATGCCATCTTGAGCCAGAAGCAGTACACTGCTGCCCTGTCCCAGCTCTCCAGGTCCCCCGTCATCAGCAACCGGACTTCAACTGGGAAGGGAGAGGTCAAGGGCATCTTGAAAAAGGAAGGTGCCTTGAAGAAGACCATCAGGGTACGATTTGACCCCTTGGCCTTACTGCTAGATGCCTCCCTGGAAGGAGAATTTGATCTTGTCCGTAGGATTATGCCAGAGGTAAGTTGATCCCCCCATCCGTCGGGTTAAAAAAACTGTAAAAACATGTTGGCTATCATTAATGTTGAACGCATCTCAAATTGGGGTACTCGTCAGGTTGAAGAAGTACCTGAGGGTTGACCACTCCTGTGAGAAAGTTATTATGAGAAAGACATTAAGACTTCATCTTAAGAATACTTTGGTTATAATTGTAACAGCATCTACAGACGCTGTTGTCATAAAATGTTATCATATGTACATGTACAGATGTACAGTATCTTAAAGGCATCAGGTGCTAACTTGACAGCATGTTAATTGCTTAACACATGGCTGAACAGTGGTGAACTCACAACGGTTTAGATGCCGATAATGAGTAGAAAACGGGGAAAAAATGGCAGCCCTCTTAATTTGTTTTTTGTTTATCTCCAGGTGCCCAACCCTAGCGGCGCCAACGATGAGGGTATCACAGCCCTCCACAATGCCATCTGCGCTAATCACTATGAGATTGTCAACTTCCTCATCATGAATGGTGTTGATGTGAATGCCCCAGACAGTGACGGGTGGTAAGTTGATGGGGGCCTTCTTGCTCCATTCACCTTGAAAAAGATCATGAAATGATGGAACCTTTGTGTGAGCATTACTTGCGGTACGGGGTTACGATTTCAACTACATGTATGTATTCTTGTCTCTTGAAATTTGGAAAGAAAATTTTTCAGGCCTATTTGAAATCATCAACCAAATGGTGTGGTTGACACTGAGAAAGAAATCTTGTGAAATCATTCCATCTTTAATGGTTCCAGTAAAGGAAATCAGGGTGCTAAGCATTCCAATATCCAAACGTCTGTTGTAACCGTCACAGAATGCTGGTCTAAGTCAATTGATCCATTGCTGTAGCTTGGCCAGCATACCATCTCTAAGCAGCCAATTTATTGAACCCCCTTCTTTTATCACACACTGTAATAATAACGGGTGGGTTTGTTGTACCTCAACTTTGGCAGGACTCCTCTCCACTGCGCGGCTTCTTGCAACAACGTGATCATGGTGCGCAATCTTGTGGAGCACGGCGCCTGCATTTTTGCCACCACCATAAGTGACAAGGAAACGGCAGCTGACAAGTGCGAAGAGGAGGAAGATGGCTTCAAGATGTGCTCTCAGTATCTCTTCGGTAAGAGGCCTTTCCTGAGTTCAGTAGAGGACCAAACTGTGACGTCATTTTGAATCAGAAAGTGTAGTGCAAACGAATGGAGCATGTCCGCGTGTTGGTTCACGTGCTGGTTCTCGCTCCAATGCCTTTTACACACCTACATGTATTCACTTCGGTACTCTGTACAGTTGCAGTAGCAATAAGACTAAGTACAGTTGGTGACATCACACTCTCTTTACAAGAGTGCTTTCTTATGGGAGTCAGATGAGGATAATGGATTTTAAACCCCAGGGGAAAGCATTTGAGTAAACAAAGCTTGATGTCATCAGTAAATTGATGCACTGAGAGTTTTCTTGGACTTCTCAAATTTTTGCCGTGCAAAAAATAGGCTCACCTGTCCTCATGCCTGTGTGGGTCTTCAGGCATGACAAGCTGACATGTGTGTTTTTCTCTGTCTATAGAGAAATCATGAGATGGTTGTGAGCTCACAATGCCAGTACTAACTCTAACACTCCTCAATCCTCCAAAGTCCTTTGGGTGATTTTGGAGGATTGAGGGTGAATGGCAAAAGTGCATGGCTTATTGCGAAGGATGCCGTGCGTGAAGGTCATTGGTTAGACCTTGTGTTGTTCTTGCGCAGTCATGAATAAATTCAGCCTGATATTTCTTTTCAATCAACCGTACTGCTTGAGAATGCCATTCGCACTGCCACAACATAATGACAGGAATTGCCCTAGGATTTTGAAGGATTGAGGCATAGGCACACCTCCAAGTAACATTTTAAAGAAATTTTGGAGGATCGAGGAGGGTCCCTAGCAAAAATGGCCTGAGGGTTAGGGCTAAGTAACAGTTGAGGGACAAAAATGGGCATGTTTGAGTGATACAGTTTTATCAACCATGGTGTTTGATGGTACTCAGGATGTATTTTATGCATAGGTTACCAGGGATAATTGACCCACGGTTAACAAATGGTTGTCACTCAAACTTACCCCGTTCTACTCATAACTAGCAGCTTGCATCGTGACACTCTCATCAGTGGACAGCCCTTTGAGTATACATCCATCCTATAGTTTGATCTAGCATGCTGATGGAAATGCAAGATCATAGTTGAATGGGCTGGTGTTTGTAAATGTGTGTGGCAACAGCTGTACGTATAAAAGCAAAAATGCACTCGTTTAAGGTTTTGAAGTTTTTCGAACCTTTATACCCACCAGGTGTCCAGGAGAAGATGGGCTTTCTGAATGGTGGCCGCATCTTTGCCGTTTACTCTTACACTGCGGAGAAGCCTGATGAGCTCAGCTTCAAGGACGGCGAAGAGCTAACGGTGATCCGACGGGGCGACGAGGAAGAGACAGAGTGGTGGTGGGCTAAGAAAGGGGAGCAGATGGGCTACGTACCCAGGAACCTTTTTGGGGTGAGTGTGGCTTCATATTTATGAAGGAAGATCAAACTTTTTGATGCTAGGTCATACTTGGAGGGAAAGCAAATGCGATGCTGTTGCACTACAAAGTTAAACACTTATCATATTATGCAAATTCCACTTTTGCGGTGTCAGATCCATTTTGGCATTCAGTGTGAAGTTGCCTTTATACAGTGTGGCAGTTCAACTTGGAAAAAGTTGCATTGTGAATAGGTTTTATCAGAATTTGTGAAGTGTGTGGTGTATTGAAGGCCAGTTTGTCTTCAGGTTTGAGCCATGGTGGTTCCTCAAGTGGTTATCTCTTTGAAAATGGCAGGCATCTTAGCTGATCTGTTTGTTTCTTTTCCTTCCAGTTGTTCCCCCGTGTCAGGCCACTGTTCTGAAGTCCCCTCTGCCCATCAGCTTGTCTCAAGTAGTGTGAATGCTTGAGCAGAACATCTGGACCTTGTGCACCTGGACCATAGCTTCTTACAAACCCATGAGATCCAGACAACATCATCAGTCTTCATTGAGTATCAACCTGTGACTGGGGAAATTGTGCGTGATGTGGGATGCAGAATCTGTCAATAACTATACCCTGAGTGGATTCGTGCACATCCCGTTGAGAGTTAGCCACCTCCAAAGTACTTGGCTGCCAGGGCTAAATGCATGCGTCTATGGGAACCGCTGGATACTGGCTGCAACCACTTCCCATAGGTGTGTGTGTTGTTGCTAGCCACAGCCAAGTCATTTTGGAAGCAGCCGTTCTCTCCTGAGCAGGGCATGCTGGACTTAAAGTGCAGCATGTTTGTGGGAGGTAGCATAGCATGATTTGACTACTTCTGGATGAAGGGCTGACACCGACAGTCACAATCCCTGAACACTAATGGACCACTGATTGTAAACCTTTTCCCTGAACTTTTTTTTTCATTTGAAATCATGCATGTTACCTTAAGTCAAGGTTTATATCGCTGTATTGCTTAAAGAATATTTGACCAAACAATGAAGGTTTCCATACAGGAGCATGTATGAAAGCATGCGATTGTGATAAAGGAAAAACAAATTACTGGGTAGTACAACAAGACCTAGGAATGAGAAATTGAGGAAATTTTACGTTCTTGTCAAGATGGAATGTTGACCCCATTAAGTTCGGAGACAGAGGCAAGATCTTTCATGATATGTGTCAATAATACATCTGATCTTAGAACACTCAATTTTTTTCACTCAGACATCTATCCCGTCAAAATTTCCATCACTTCCGTAAACTGTTTGTTTTATCACCTGAAAGACAGACTTTTGTTTGGTTGGGAATTTTGGAAGGTAAGAAGTGGACAAATTACATGTATACTTAAGTTCATATCATGAGTATGGATTTTATCTGTAAATAATTCTGTAATAGTGCTGTTGTACAGTTATTAAAATCCTCCTGTTTGTAGATTGTGTACAGGACAGTGCTGTGATGAAATTCAGAGAAAGCTATTTCAGGGCTGTGTTAAGACAGTAAGGTATTCTGAATACACATGGGCATGGGAAATAGGATGTTTTACCTGAGACAGTTTTGGAAACTGCTTCTTCTGTGTTTCCGAAACTGTCTCAGGTTAAAGATCTCTGTGTTTCCAAAAGAAAAGAGTGACAATATAACTTACTTTCTGCATCAAAAGTCTTCTTAAACATTGTGCAGTCTAAACTTAGCTCTTGGGTTTAATTGATACCATCTGCTGTATTCCGTGCACACTGCAGATTGTTGTTCTAAGAAGAGTTTTTTCAACTTTTGGTTTTTTTTTTAAAAGTGTGCCCAAACTTTGGCAGAGTTGAAGTTCTCATGCTTGGAGGAATGCCACGGTGGTGTTCACGTTTGCTTTGGTACTGGGTGTGAATGAGCCTGTGTAAAACACAGCCTGGTTGAGTCACAGTTTCTGTCCAACCTGTTGGAGGAACTTTTCACTAGCTCACAGACGTAATACTGATAGACTTCATCAGGCCAGTTTAGTACATCTCCAGAGTTCAATATTCATCAGCAGTAGCTGTTATGTACATGCTTTTTTTCGTGCGGTGAACTAATGTAATTAGATTATCAGGGCCCACTTCTGTCTGATACTGCTTTTACCAAGCTTAACGCAAGTACTTTGATACTGATTATTGACATGTCAGAAAAAAGAAAAGTGATAAAGCTGCTTCGAAGCGCTCACCGTCTAGAGTGATCTGTAGTATGAGGTTTGAAAGATTCAATACCGATTAGGGTCGAGCCATCAATCCCTCTTTCAATTAACCATTGCGAGACTGCAGGACGCATGGCTTGCTCTTCAAAAAGGAGGGGAACATTTCATGTCTGTGTGTACACCTGAGCATTAAGTTGTCTTTTTGAGCATTCACCGATTCAAAGCCGTGGAATACTGTCAGGACGATGGCTTTTGTTGCGCTGAAGTTGTTGAAAGTAGCATTGTGGATTTGGGCCAAGAATCTATTTTGCAGTTGTTGCAGAAATAAAATAACCGGAAGTAAAATGACAAAACATTTGTACAGTCCTGAAGTATTGCGGTAATGAAGAATTGCCATTATTTAGTGGACATTAGGTACTGTATATTACGAGTAAAAAATTTAACACTTGCGTTGTGATTGGCGACAGAAATCTAAATTATATTTTTCATGAGAAACCTTATTAATGCATTAGTTATTACTTCTCTAAGAGTGTATTCAGTTTAACTTGACCAATGCTTTAAACATGTACTATACTTGAAAGTTGTTAAGTGCTAATAAGTACTGTAATTTCATTTGGGTTTAATTTACGGTGATTAACTTGGCTTGATAAAAGTACTTCAAGGGGCATATTAGCCAAACTGTGTACACGTTTATCATAAAGAAGTTCAGTAACGTTGCGCGTTCTTTTGGGGGTTTCAAATCTAATCTCTTTTTCACAGGAAGTGGTCATGACAAACCTTCGTCAGCACAGCAGAACTAAGACTAAAGACAAGAGGCTCTGCTTAGACCTAAATGATATAATGATAAGTACTTTTCCAATCTGCAGCTATGCCTATGCAATGTGAAATTGCCTATACATTTTTGAGGAGTGCAGAGAATACTGAATGGTGGTGTCATTTGGACCAGGAAAGGTTGTGCAAATGATTGAAGTACGTGTGTGTTGGTTCATGTGCTGGTTTGCTCGTCACTTCCTTTAACACATTTGGGCATGACTTATTCACTTTGGTACTCTATAAATTACAGCTTGAGGAGGTCCATGTTCTGTCATTGAATTCTGTTACGATGGAAATCCATGCTATTTTAGATAAGGCTGCTCAGCAAAATGGTCCTGGATAGGAACTGATTTACTAAGCCAAAATTAGTTGTAAATAACTGTCAACTCCGAACCCCTGTGAAATTCTGCCTCATTTACCCAATCAGAAATGATTGGACTCTTTTACAAAGTAGAGAATTGTTTTTTTTTATAATGGTTTGGGACTCAGAAATGTTGCAAGGTGAATTATCACAAACAAATTAATAATCACAATAGTTGAATTCGCCAATCTATGCAACTCCATGAAACAGCATTCCTAGGTTTTTTCCTCATTGTAAATATTACCAATGTAATTATGTAAATACATGGTAGAATCTTGGTACTCTGTGCTTGGATGTTTTTGTTCTGTACTTAGAGCATTTTGATTTAACCAAAATTTTATTTATATTTATAAATGTAGACTTTTAAGTATATCTTGAATTAGCTTCGTGTTATCTTAAATTTCACCCTTGTCATTAACTTTTGTTTATATGTGTATTTGGATAGTGGATTTATTTATCAGAAAGTTTAGGCTGTAGTGTCTTTGTTAATGTAAGAAAATCTTGGAAGTGGACATCAACATTTTTATGTCACAACATGTAGATAAGTCTTATCTCGATGTATTCCTTTGAATAAAAAGCTTGTTCTTGAAAACTTCAATAATTGACTACACTGCAGCTTGTTGGAGACTTGAAGTTTGGTGGTGTTTGTTGACCGTGACTTGTGTTGGAGGGTTTTTCATCATGCAGATTCAGTTGTGTGCAGCGGGATGATGCGGGGTACCTTTATTTTAAAAAATCCCCCCATGTGACGGATTCATGACCAATAGGAACAGCTGACCTCTCTGAATTGTTATGACTGAGTTTACTTTAAAAATGATCTTTTGAAATTTTTCGTAGGGAATGTTTTATCATCCAAAAGGGTGCAGTTTGGGATGGTGTGTATAGTACCGTGCGGATCCACACCCATGTTATGGCTGGTGCTAGAAATAATGTGACCACGGCATAGAGCTGTACTAATATTAAATAAGGGTGCACCCCTGTAAGTTGGCCACAAATCATATACTCCAGATATTCTTTTTACTAGAAAGTCCTGAGAATCATTGAAATATGCCACTAAACCTCCTGGACTCAAGGCTTCCAATTCTGAGCAACGTGGATGCAACTGGGTCTGAAAGTGGCACTATTTGGCCGTTTTTGCAGAAGGATGCTGTCTTTAGTTTTCTCAGTTTGAGAAATTTCCTAATTCGTTTTATTGATGGGCGATCCACCAAAAATTGAAAGGAGAGTGAAACATAACATGTTGATCGTCATTTTTCTGTGCGGCCTAAACACCTCTGAGAGTTGTATTTTAAAAAGAATTTTTAAGGCTGGTGTCTATGGGAATTTATTTACCAACGTACACCATTGACCTGGAAGAAAAAAATCAGTGGGTATAGGTTGGACGCTGCCTTCTTTTACACCGTTAGTCGCAGTGTATGTAAACGATGCCCACTCGCAGCTTGCGGCGTGTGCATGTGACGAATGAACTATGTAGTGCGCCCTCAATAAGCTAAGAATTTGTCAATCTGCACAATGGCGGACCCACGAGAGAAGGCGATCCAAGATTATCGTAAAAAATTACTCGAACACAAAGAGCTAGACGCTCGTTTGAAGGAAAGTGAGTACTTTTCATAATAGCAGATTAACTACTGAGTAAAAGAAATTGGTTCTAGTTGCTTTCTTTGGCTGAATATTTTATTATTTTGTATTGAAAATCTTGTGTGTGGCCAAAGCAAAGTTTGCTGAGTCAGAGTACAAGTTGTATACGAAAAGCAAGGTTTTTCATAGGCCTGGCACTTACATGTATTTCGTTATAAACTACATAATCGTAAATTAAAGGGTCTTACTAATAACCGTCAAGACACCGTTAACACACAATTAACGCCAACACACCGTCAACTCCTCGAACATACAAGTTTAATCGAAAGAGGCATAGAGGTGTAATTCTTGGATTGAAAGAGACTTTCCAGTACTTGGTTAGGGTCACAAATTAATTTTCAAAATGGAGTATTTTCACACACACAAAAAAAGATCTCTAGCAGCGTAGTGGTTCGCCGCCATCTTGCCTGCTGCAGATGGTTTGTGCCTTGCTTGGATTATGTTGTTAGTCAGTATTTTGTAAATTTCAATCTTTTTTATTTGTGACTAGGCCTACGATTACTTCCTCTTATGAAATCTGTATGTTTTGTGGATGATCCGACTGACTGTCCTATGTTTCTTTAACATATATTACCGCCCCTCTAGCGTAATGGTATGGTCCCAGCTGCCCCAGAGGCAACATGGCTGCTGATTTCGATTTCGGCAAAATTAAAACAGCAATTTTTTAGAGTTTAACCTGTTGATGTTTAGCCAAAATATCCTTTCGAACACTTTTTTAACGTGTTTTGGAGGTGTTGACGCTGTGTTGACGGTAATTAGTATGACCGTAAATTAAGCAGTGTTCAGGTGTTGTGGTCATGGAAGCTGCGGGAAGGCATTCCATATACAGATGTCACTAACTTTTGCTTGCAGAGTAAGCCATTAGCTAGGCCTATGGCTATATCAAACTAAAAAGCAGTAAAAATATGAAAAATTTTAAAGTCAAATTTAGCAGTGAAAAATATTGTTGCCCATCACCTAAAAGTCGACAAATATAATGCACTCAATCCCGCCATCGATCCATCAGATTCTATGAAATGCAATTTCTATTATCTGCTTCACAGTTATTGTAGGTACGTGTACATGTTATGAACATTTAGCCACCACATCAGAATTGACAGTGAAAAATAAGATTCAAAGTACCTACCGCACCACATGAAAATGCGAAATTGAGTGAGCAAACAAATTGCACTGTGTAAGAGTCGATGTATTTCATTGGTCTACATGAAGCTTGCGCAAATACAAGAACCAATCAAATCGTTCTTCAAATTGATCTTCGGCATACATACACACAAAAGGCATCTAAACTGAATGTGAATGAAATGCATAAATACATGCATGGTGTTTTATACAACTGCTAGCAGATTGGGAACTATTGTTTTGTCTTTTTCTAACAAATAATGAAATTTTTGTAAATAATGAGAATTTTTTTGGGGGGAGGCGGTGTTGTCAGGACATGCGGCGGTGGATGCATATCAAATACTCATCATGGCCTGAAGATCCCATGGCGGAGTAGTTACGGGCATGACATGTCTTACATATCACAAGATCCAAGATTTTCCCCCAGGAGATGCAGGTTTCCCGCTTGAGACCAATCAAGGGCTGTTTTAAGTTTCTTCTAATCCCTGAAGTAAAAAAGGACAAATTCTGCATTAAACTGCAGGATGTGTGACTTTTGTGCTGTGATTCATGGCATTGGAGCTGGAGGTTTTTTCAAAAGTAACAGCGAATCTCCACAAGTCAAAAGCTTAATGCTTGATATTTAGAGGTACAGTGTAGTTTGGACTTTATTTCCCATGAGAAAGGGAAAATTATCTCCCTTGAATATCATGTTACTGATGCCTGTAACAGCAAATCTCCTTATGCTTAGTTGGATAGTTTGAGCTAGTCCAAACTTTTATCTACATTGTAGGTCTGAATTCATGAATATGAATTTATAAGGGCAATGGAACCAGACAAATATTTGTCATGGTGAAATTTCCAAAACAGCCACTGTGCACTTTCAGCAGATATATTGAATATTGGATATACAATGTAGGCCATATTGTATATTGACGGCAGTGTTTCTAAGTTAACCAATGTCTGGTATCTACTTGTTTTTGTGTTTTCATAGTGCGAGAGCAGTGCAAGGAACTGACAAAGAATTATGACAAATCAGAGAATGACTTGAAAGCATTGCAGAGTGTTGGTCAGGTGAGGTATACACCAAACATTCATAACCAGTGTGCTGAGCTGTCCAAATTACTCAGGGCTTACAGGTGCATGTTTGGAAATATAAGAACTTCAAATTTGCCTAATTTTCTGCTTCCAGTGTAATGTCTGTTTTTTGGCAGTGAACAATTGTGTGTCATAGTTTTTCAGAACTGATGTTATTTTTCAAAGGATCTAATTAGGCTCAGTTTAGTCGACATGTGGAAGTATTGATCAGCCGATTCCGCAAATTGACACTGTGGCGCTGCTTTGTATTCAAATTTAGCTTAAATTTAAGAGTTTCACTGAGACGTGTTGTCAGTTGACAGACTTTTGTTACCGTTCGTGTGACATAATTATTGTGATTTGAATGAGTATATAATCACTTTCATCTTTTCCCTAGATTGTTGGAGAAGTTCTCAAACAGCTGACTGAAGAAAAATGTAAGCAGTGCACTATTCAAAGAATTCTCTGAGAAAGTTTTTCATGACTTACTACTCACAGGAGCCAATTAAGAGAACATCTTCATCGAACAATAGCGCGTTTCATTCTACATGTAATCTACAAAATTGTCTTGTTCAGAAAAAAAAGTTTTGTCCATTGATTCTTTTGAGAAGCGTAAACCTTGGCTAGAAATTACTTGTATTCATATTTTGGCCTTACTTTTTGGCATTGTTTTGGCCTTTCTGCTGGCATGTGTATTTTCGCTGGATCAGCCGAGTTTGCCCTTTCTCTTCCCAGTGTATGTCATTACAAATTGAAGAACTGTACAAAGTCTTTGCACAGGTTTAAGTTTCTCCACCCCCCCCCGCTTTAGAATGATATCCATTGATATGTCAAATACAGAGATTCCGCTTTAAATGTCTCTCAGTGAAATTCATACCTTTGAAACCAGCCTGAGGATTCTTCTTTCCTTCGCCACACAAAAGAGATGATTTGTTTCCCAATCTTTTCTCCAGTTATCGTGAAGGCCACCAATGGCCCACGTTACGTTGTGGGATGTCGGCGAGGCATAGACAAAGCCAAACTGAAACAGGGCACCAGAGTTGCCCTGGACATGACAACGCTAACAATCATGAGGTAAGGGCGCTGATATTCAGAACAGTTTGATACATACAGATGGAGCAGAGTGGTGATAATTTATCTGTAAACCATATGACTTACGTTGAGTCTCTCTGGTAATGAAATCTGCAGTTTCTTGAATGTGCACTCCAAATACATACGCATGTGAAGTCTGTAGTAGTAGGAACGCAAGAATTTCATTGATAATTGTGATATAACAGCACAGCATGCAAATTAAGGCAACTCATGGCTTTCTTTAGAACTTGTAATGGGCATGCAGTTTGTTTTTGATTACCGGGATTGTGTGTAGAATTTGCATTAATGCCTTAAATTTAAGTTCAAAAACTTTCCACCATCTCAGTCGGGCATTAAGAGATGATATGTTGGATAAGCTTTATCGCGTCTTTAATATACCGATACTTTGACCTACTTCACCAGGTATTTACCCAGAGAAGTTGATCCGATGGTGTATAACATGTCCCATGAAGACCCTGGCAATGTATCCTACTCAGCCATCGGAGGTTTGTCTGAGCAGATCAGAGAGTTGAGAGAGGTAAGAACTGGACAACTAAGGCTGTGTCCGAAACGGGCTTCCAGAGCTACGGCCAGGTCTATTGTCTAGGCGTCTCTGCGCATTTCCAATGGAGCGAAGACCTAGACTTAACTCTAGACGAGAGATTCGGATGCAGCCTAGGAAGACGAATACAGACTAGTCACTTTGTAGCGCGCCACCAAGAGTTTGCTACAGACAAGTTTACGGTTGACACGCTGCCGCCATTGAGCACACTTCTGTAAATGATTTAGGGATATGTGATTGATTGAGGCATTCTCTGTACCACACAAACCCATCTTTTGACTACATAACGCCCATTCGCAGTAAGCAATTTCGAATTTCCAACCAAGATTCAAAAACTTCAGGCTTTCCGCACACTGTGCAGCCTAGCGAAAGAGACTTTGCTGACTATTTATCCCGTAATACACTGCAAAAAGCCTCTCCGTGACAACCTCTTGGTGGCGCACTGTATTGTGAATTGTCCGTATTAAAATTTTACATCGCAAATGTCTCCATTCTCTGAAAAATATCACTAAATACACATTGTTATCCTTAGAATTTAGTTGATACTTTTGTTTGAAACCTTGCCTGATTTCTGTGAAAATGTCAAACATCAACCAGTAGCTCATTCTTTGTGAATTTCATCTTTTGAGTGTTTTCACTTGAGGCCCCATGTAAAGAATTATCAGCTGGACTTTGCCTTCCTCAATCCTGTAATATCAGTGAAATTCTTCTGGTGAATTTTGAAGGAGGTGTTAGGGTCAGGGTTATTGAGACCTTTTAGTGCGTTGTTTGCATAAAGCAATTGAGCACATTGTGTGCGGCAGCTAATGTGTTAACCTTAACTCCCCAGAGTGATTTACTAGGAACCATACCCATTCCCACAAATTCCAACACCATATGGTAAACAGTGCGCAAAAACTGTTGGATTCTGTTTATTTTGGGTATGCCTGAACCCATGTTAAAGCACAAGCAGTTTATGGGCACAGTACCCAGTGCCACAAATTCACACACTTTACTGGTGTTCAATTCTGTGTGGTTAGGGAAGGTTAGGGTTGATATTGACCCAGACTGTGATAGCAGGAAGAGTGTTCTGTCATAAATTCAGACAGATTTTCAAGGATTGGTTCTGCTCAGTCAGGGTTTTTCTTATCTTCAGTGCTGTATGTTCCACATAGATGGTCACTCTGTGTGATTGAGGGTGAATTGACCCGTCTTGTAAGGGACCAATTATTGTTGGCTCTTCAGGTCATTGAACTACCTCTCTTGAACCCAGAGCTGTTCCAACGAGTGGGCATCACCCCTCCGAAAGGCTGCCTGTTGTACGGGGCACCAGGTAAGGGACTTAGGGATTTGTATGAAAGTCTAGTGACTACACAATTTGCGTCAGCTGTCTCTGTTTGAAACTGTTGACAGAAATGCTTCTCTAAATTAAAATGTGTTGATTTCAGTGTTGGGGATCGTTAAGTTTTTCTGAAAAGAGAGGAGGTTTCAGAAGATGTTTGCACTCCTGCATGTGTGCTTAGGATGGTGTTAGATTAACATTCTTCAGCTTGTCAGGTTGTGCATCGTAGCATTACATAGCAGAAGATTTGAGCTTTATAGTGAGCAGTCACCGTGGAGTCAGACATAACACTGGACTTTATAGTTCTGAAAATCTGATTTTAGCGGACCAAACCTGTTTATTATTATTGCAGACGTGGCAGATCAAAGATTTAGAAAGGTGAAGGTTTATACAGAAATTCCTTTATGTTCAAGAGTAAAATTAATGCAAGAGTGAATTGATGAGTGACTTCTCCTATTGTCCAGGTACTGGCAAGACACTTCTAGCTAGGGCAGTTGCTAGCCAACTAGATGCCAATTTCTTGAAGGTGAGGATGTAAGCAGTAGACATGGTAGAGGCCTGAAGTCATCACGTTAATGGTTGCACCACACACGTTTGTCTGTGTTGTAAGTTTTGCAACAGAAGAACTGTTACCTATGATATTTTGAGCAGGGCAGACTCTTCAGAAGGTGGAATCAACACCATCCCCTCAGGGCCACACATAACCCAAAAGAAACGGAGCACAGCTTTATAGCCTCCTCCTATCCCACCACACACAGGTTGTCTCCAGTGCTATCGTCGACAAGTACATCGGCGAGAGTGCACGGCTGATCCGTGAGATGTTTGCCTACGCCAGGGACCACCAGCCCTGCGTCATCTTCATGGACGAGATTGATGCCATTGGAGGACGGCGATTCTCAGAAGGGACGTCGGCAGACAGGGAGATCCAGAGAACTCTCATGGAGGTAATCGGGACAACAGATTGGCCGTTAGTTTTTGGGAGAGTAATTGGGCGAGGCCCTTTGAGTTACTTTTGGATTAACTCCAACTCCTCCTGCACTTTTGCTAGGATGGAGCCCAATCCTGAAAAATCTTCCGACTGCCTCCAGATGAACATTATACACAGTGTCAGTCGTTGAAATCCTCCGGCAGTAATTGTCAGTGTATTCAGGCAGTGGAGTAATGTCATGAGGCAATACAGATGATTTCCAGTAAAATCACGCCCAGTATACATGCATGGCTGAGCATAAACAACCCAAGGCCCAGCCCAAGGCTTTCCCACAATGCCTTCTTCCATATCACCAGCTTGTTTCTCACTCTTTTTAAATCCTCCACTGATTTACAGAGGAGTTCGGAAGGTCAGGGCTGATCAAACCAAGAATTGTATTCAGCTGAACAATTTAAACAATGATCAGTTGATCGTGTAATGGATAATCGTTAAAGTGTATTAGATAGTCAGTGTTCATGCCATTGAAAGTCCGTGTAAGAATTTTTATTTTTACCAAACTTCTTTATTCAGTTGCTGAATCAAATGGATGGCTTTGACACGTTAGGCAAAGTGAAGATCATCATGGCTACCAATAGACCCGACACATTAGATCCTGCACTGCTTAGACCTGGTCGCTTAGATAGGAAGATAGGTAAGTTTGATGAGTCGATCAGTAGTTGTTAAAGTCACATTGGATCATGCTAGAGGGGTATGTTAAAGCGGCGTTGACAGCCGGTAGGCAGTGGATTGTTGTGTCCCAGTATAGTGATCTTGAAAATAGT